TCCTGGAGAGAAGAGGTGTCCAAGAGGACCAAGGACCAGCTCCTCCAAGCTCAAGCGGTTCATCCCAATGAGCAGGAATCAGAGGTGGCAGGTTATCTGCATTGACCTAGGAGGAATAAGCATGCAAGGATGGGGCTAGGGCCAGTTCAGCAAAAGGAAATGCCAAGTCCTGCACCTGGGGAGAAACAACCCTATATATCAGCACATGCTGGTGGATGACTGGCTGGAAAGCAACTTCCCAGAGAAGGCCCTGTGGGTCCTGGTGGGCAACAAGTCTACTACAAGCCAGCAGTGTGCCCTCGTGGCAAGGAAGGCCACTGGGCTGCATTAGGAGGAGCACTGCCAGCAGCTGGAGGGAGGTGATCCTCCCCCTCTGCTCAGCACTGGTCAGGCATAGCTGCAGTGCTAGGTCCAGTGCTGGGCTCCCCAGTACAAGACATGGACATACTGGAGAGATTCCAGCAAAGGGCTGTCCATCTTCTACTGTGAGGGTGATCAAACCCTGGCACAGGCTGCTCAGAGAGGTAGTAGAGTGTCCATCCATGGAGATATTCAGAACCTGACTGGCCACAGTCCTGTGCAACCTGCTCTAGCTGCCCTTGCCTAAGCAGGGGGTTGGGCTGGATGATCTCGAGGTCCCTGCTAGCCTCAGCCACTCTGTGTCCCCGAGGCCTCAGCACTGCAGCTCCCAGGCACTGGGATTGCTGCTGCGTTCAGGGAGCCGCTGTGGCTCCCTTTGCCGGGGCTTTTCAGAGCAGCACGCATGTCCTTGGCGTACCAAGGTCACAGTCCCCAGCAGCCATTGGAGCAACTCTTCCTGCAATGCTGGAGGACGCAGCCTGGCTAGCCCTGAGCCGCAGAGAGTGTGTGGGGCCTCTTGCTGGGGCTGGTGAACCTGGCTGGCAGCCTGCAAGAGGTGTGTGGTTTTGCACATCTTGGACCTGGGCTGCCAAGTGGAGGAGCTGCTAGAGGAGGTCAGCAGGCTGCGTGGCATCAGAGAGGGCGTGAAAGAGATCAACTGGATCATCTCTGAGACCCTACAGCTACAAGAGCCCAAACCTTCAACTATGGTGGCAAAGTGAGTGCCTGCCAGGTTTGAAAATGGAAATGCCCTCGATGGTGAAGGTTGTCCTGGTGACTCCTGGCAGCAGAAGGATGGCTCTTGCTCCACCCAAAAGTTTTTGCAGTTATGGCATAGGTTCAGTGCCCTCATCGCTGACGAGGCGCAGGGAGCACTCTCCAGTCATCTTCAGGTGACCTCTGCCAGCAGGCCAGCTGACCTGGTAAGGAGAGCTTTAAACTGGGAATGGCAGGGGAGGGGACAATCGTCACTCAGGTGGGGATGTGGTGGATGGGGTGGGCAAGAAAAGGGCTCAGGGGGTGTGAACAGCAGGGGCTCTGTTACCAACAAAACAGGATTGAATTGGGGTCACTTCAGCATAGGGGCACGGATAGGGCAGTGCCCGCAGGACAGTGTTGTGGGCAAGCTCTCATGGCCTTGCTGGGAAGTGGGCGTGTGCGGGGGCCACTAATGCAGGCAGAATGGGGAGCAGATGGGAGGAACTAGTGGGCTGTGAGCACTTACAGGGCTGCAGCCTCTTTGGGATGATGGCTGATGCGGCAGCTGAGGGCTGATGGGTCAGGATTAGCAGGAAGCTGTGTGGGCACTTGCTACACACAGCCTGATCAGGATGCAGCCTGCCTTCTTCAGGCATCTGGAAGAAGCCCCATGTCAGCAGGCCCTGGTCCTTACGGGGAGCTGGAATGCCCCTGATATCTGCTGGAGAGACAGCCCAGCAGGGCATAAGCAGCCCGGAAAGCTTCTGGAGCATGTTGACAACACCTTGCTGACACGGGTGATTGAGGAGAGGTGCTCTGCTGGGCCTCACAGACAAGGAAGGACTGGCCAGGGGAAGCTCAGGATCCTGAGAGAAGAAGAAAAGACAAAAGCAGGACCACAACCCTGGATTTCAGGAGAGCAGACGCTGGCCTCTTCAGGGATCTGCTTGGGAGAATCCCATGTCCTGGAGAGAAGAGGTGTCCAAGAGGACCAAGGACCAGCTCCTCCAAGCTCAAGCGGTTCATCCCAATGAGCAGGAATCAGAGGTGGCAGGTTATCTGCATTGACCTAGGAGGAATAAGCATGCAAGGATGGGGCTAGGGCCAGTTCAGCAAAAGGAAATGCCAAGTCCTGCACCTGGGGAGAAACAACCCTATATATCAGCACATGCTGGTGGATGACTGGCTGGAAAGCAACTTCCCAGAGAAGGCCCTGTGGGTCCTGGTGGGCAACAAGTCTACTACAAGCCAGCAGTGTGCCCTCGTGGCAAGGAAGGCCACTGGGCTGCATTAGGAGGAGCACTGCCAGCAGCTGGAGGGAGGTGATCCTCCCCCTCTGCTCAGCACTGGTCAGGCATAGCTGCAGTGCTAGGTCCAGTGCTGGGCTCCCCAGTACAAGACATGGACATACTGGAGAGATTCCAGCAAAGGGCTGTCCATCTTCTACTGTGAGGGTGATCAAACCCTGGCACAGGCTGCTCAGAGAGGTAGTAGAGTGTCCATCCATGGAGATATTCAGAACCTGACTGGCCACAGTCCTGTGCAACCTGCTCTAGCTGCCCTTGCCTAAGCAGGGGGTTGGGCTGGATGATCTCGAGGTCCCTGCTAGCCTCAGCCACTCTGTGTCCCCGAGGCCTCAGCACTGCAGCTCCCAGGCACTGGGATTGCTGCTGCGTTCAGGGAGCCGCTGTGGCTCCCTGTGCCCTGCCGCTAATGAGGGAGCAAAGCTGGTGCCCAGGAGCAGCCCAAAGGCCCCCCACAGTTCGGCTGCTGATCATCACCTGCTCCCTCCCTGTTGGCCTGGTATCATTAGCTGCTCGTGCTGCTGCACATCTGCAGTGTCTGTCGTGCCAGCTCCCTGCTGTCAGGCAGATGATGGCCGTTGTCCCTGGGCTGGGACTAGCGGCTCATTAGGGCTGGGGTGTTGCAGCTGGGCTGACAAAGGGATCCCAGGGATTTTCCCAGGGTCTGGGGGGTCCCAGTTTCAGCAAGCTGTCAGCCCCCACCACCCCAGTGCTCCTAAACTGGAGTAACCTAGCAGCATCATGCTCCTCCCTCCTTGGGGAAGGGAGAAGAGTCTTGCCATTGTAATGGGCTGAGACCAGCCCACTTGGCTCATGCCTGAGGCTCCCAGGCAAGCTCTGGAGTAGGGAGTACCCCCAGGGACTCCAGATCTTGTGCCCTGGACTGGTCTGCGAGCATTGCTGCTGCTGGACACCCTCCTCAGGCAGTGCAGCCCTGCACCAAAAGGCAGGTCTGACATGGCTGACTGTCAGTCTCGGGGACCTTATGCACTGCCCATCAGCCGGGAGGTGGTTGCATTTTCCTCCCCTAATTGCTTGCTGCTTGGCCAGCAAGTGAGCCAAGTGCGTGCAGGATGGCTCCCGGGGGAAGGCTGTGTCTTTCACATCCTGTCTGCACTTGGCAGGCTTGGCCGCAGTGGGCTGAGGCGGCTGAACACCCTCTCTGTCCCCCACTGGGGCTGGCTGGGGGGGTGGTGGACTGGGAGTACCCTGCCTGTGCAGGGGATGGCAGACGTTCGCCTCCTGGCCCAGTCCTCCTGCCCCGGGGCAGCTCTGCAGCCTCCCTGGGTTGCCCAGCCTGCCTTGGCTCACACACCCTGGGAGCAAGAGAGAAAGGCTGAGCAGTGCCTCAGTTTCCACAGCCAGACCCCTGCAGGGCTCTGGCAGGCTGCTGGCATGGCCCTCCTTCCTGTGCCTGCACTGTGCCTGGCAGAGCCGTGCTCCTGCAGCAGATGTCAGTCTCTTTCTGGCCTCCCAGCAGCCCCCTCTCCCCACTGTGGTTTTCAGCCAGGGCATGAGAGGATCCTGGTTAAAATTAGCTAGTTTGCTGGCGTGTCCCTGCCAAGGCAGGTGAGTTCAGGGCAGGGTGAGCCAGAACTCCTGGGGTCTCTGCCCATCAGGGTCCTGAAACATTTTTTCCAAACAATTTACAAGGATGCTGGAGAAGCAGAGGGTGCTTAAAAGCACACAGCAACCTGCCAAGAGCTCAGATCGTGGCCAGGGAGTAACTCATTGTGCAGTGAATGCATCTGCTCACCAGTAGCCCAGCGCGGCTGAACTGCCACAGCCTTTCTGCAAGGCAAGACTGAGCCCTGTGCTGCCTGCTGCTCCACAACTCAGCGCTTCGGGTGCTGCCTCCATTCCTGGGACAGTTGGGCTTGCCAACACCCTCCATCGCAAGCAGCAGGACATCGAGGTGCCAAGGACACATACGAGCAGGGATTACATGTCCCTGTGCACGTTCCTGCCAGCCTGGGAAATCCCAGCCCCTCCGCTTTGGGCTGCTCAGCTTTTGGGGAGCTCCAGCTCTTGAGAACCTGAGTACGAATCCCTTTGCACCAGTACAGAGAGGAATTGCTCCTGAAAAGAGACGAAGCTGTGTGTACAAGCCCCTCCGCAAAGCAGCCATTGCTTCTCTCCTCGCTAAACAGCTCAAAGTGACCTGAATTAGGAGTGGAGAGAAGATGCCCACCAGTCCTGGGCCCTTGCCAGCAAGAGCTACCCCAGCCACTCTGCCTGCTCCTGGGTCCAGAAGAGGCTGGAGCACCAAACACATCTCCAGGCAAGATGCAGACGTTAGCATAGCCACAACCACCTCCTCTTGCTCTGTGTTAGCAGGGGGGATGCCAGCCCTGGAAAGCCCACCCACTGTGTCTTCGGGTGTAGGTTCATCTGCTGGGTGCCAGGCTTTTCCTGTGCAGCAGCCTGGCTCCAGGGTATCCCACAGCACTGCCTTTCTGGGTGGAAGCACCTCCAGATGAGTACCCCTGAGCTTGCTGGTGGTGTTGGCCCTCCAGCTCTGACCCTTGGCGGGGAGTGATGGGCTTCCTCTGGAGCCCAGGGGCGAGCAAAGAGAAGACCCCATCCCCCCAGAGAAAACCCTTCCCAAGAATGAGGCAGCAGGCAGCTTTTGGTAAAGGAGACTTTAATCTGCTCAGTATCTAGTCCATAGTGCAAAGAGTTAAACTTAAGGCAAAGCTTCCTCTTTTTTTATAAACAGGCAGCAAACAAACAGGCCCTAAAACAATAAGCGTGGCTGCTATAATAGAAAAAGGGTTTGAGGGGAGAAACTGCAGTCCTGGGGAGGTGTCCTTCCCCCCTGTAATTCATGTAGGAAACATTGCACCCCAAGATCCATGAGCTGGTCCCGACCAAACACCGCTGCCTGCAGCCAGGAGTGTGGCCACACTCCCACTCCCGGGTGTCTCCAGAGGCACACCCAGGGAAGGGTGCAGCTCCCCGGCTCCTCTTGCAGGAGGACCTCTGCAGGTGCCTGGGACAAGCTGGGCCCTGGGGAACACAATCTGCGGGGCTGCACTCACTGCTCTGGCAAGGGCTTGGCTACTCAACTGCAAGTGTCACTGGCTGCAGCCGCAGGAGAGGTGGCTGGGGAGAGCAAACATTAACATGGGTGGTGTGTGCTTGGGGAGGCACAGGGGCAAGAGGCTGAACAACAGGGCTTGGGCTGGGACCTTTGCATCTCTGTGAAGCGAGGTGGAAGCGGCTGACAGCCCTGGGGCCAGGCACTTCTAACACCTATTAGTGCTCAGGAGCCCAGCTTGGCCCAGGGAGTCCCTCCAGTCCCCAGCAAATGTGGGGGCAACCAGCCCCTGCAGTGCCTCCCAGAGCAGAGCCACTCTCCAACAAGATAGTATCTTGCCACACTCAGGTTTACAGCGCAGAGGGGTCTTCCAGCATGGCCTGGCCTCTCCGCTGCTTCTGTTTTGGCTTAAATCACTCATCAAGAAGAATAGGAAAGGAAGACCATGCCAGCCGCCCTCAGGCTCTTGGCTTGCAGTCCAGGAGTCAAGACTCTTTCCAGTCTGGCTCCAGCCAAAATTGGCTGTGGGGCGTGGCTGACCCCAGGCAAGCAGCTGGAAAAGGAAAAACTTTTTAGTGCAAGGCCCTCTTGCAGCCCAGCAATTTCTTGGAATGGTGCTGGTTGACCAAGCTGGGATGAGCCATCTCAGGCCTCCCCAGCCAGGATCAGATGCCCTGGTTAGACTTCAGGGGATGCTTTTAAATAAAACTAGCTACATTTCTGACAGACAGTAAGACAGAACAGCAGTGTAACCCTGCCCTAATCAAAGATAGCCATGGTCCTGGTACCGCTCCATGCACACAGCTGCAGATCCGCAGCATGGATATGCAGAACTTGTGCCTGGAGCTGGAATGTCTCAGTGGGTCCCCAGGAGCTTTGGGGTGTCCTCTCTCCTCCCAGAGAGTTACTCCCTCTAGCCAGCCCAGCCTGGGAAGCAGCAAGCGAGCACTGGTGTGAGCCAGTTCCGTGGCACTCTGAGCCTGAAGAAAATGTGTAGTATCTAGACAGGATTCTCCAGCATTGGCTCAGACGTCTGCTGCTGCTGCCAGGGCTGTGAGCACTGGCCAGCCAGCCATCCACCCCTCAGGTTCACCAAGCAGCACCACCACCCCTGCAGAAAGAGTAACTCCCTCCAGCCTCCCCATGTGAGTAACCTGATGTGTGCTTGCTAGTCTTGCATAGGTGATGCGTGGAAGCGGCAGCAACACTGAGCTCTGCAGTCAGCCGGCCTGCAGCGAGCCTGTGTTCATCACAGCTCCTCATTGTCCTGGCAAGGGGAACAGGAAGTTCAAAAACCAAAGCCATGGTGGCTGGGATACTGAAATACCCCAGAAACCCTGCTCTTCTCCAGCTGAGAGCCAGGCTCAGCCCTTTGGTAGCAAAGCTTAAAAAACTCGAGTGTGCTCATTGCTCTCCTAGGGCCTTGCAAAAGGGGCACACTTCTCCCTTCCCAGGGAGCTGCCCCACTTAGATGGTGGGAGGAGGAAACAGAGGCGTGAATGCAGTCTGCCAGGTAGTTTTCTGGTCAGATCTCGGGAAAAGCCCTCCCTTGCCTTGCACCAGCCCCTGTGATTCCCAGGAGGGCATAGCCTTTAACCTTTCCATCAGCTTTGGCTATGAGGGACCAGAGCATCTTTCTGTGCTCTGCTTTGGATCTCAGACTGCTGCAGGCTTGAGGCAACAGGCCCTGAAACAGCAAAAGTTGTCAACAGAAAAAAGGTAACTCTTTCAGCCTGCTGCAGAGATCAGTTATTGTGCTTGCTAGCAAGAGCTACAATCTAGTTACGTAGCAAATATGGCTAGCAGACACCCCCAACAGCCTTTTGCCCTTTCAGCACCATCCTTAGTTCTTTGGAAGCTGCTCGAGGCAGCCCTGGGAAGTTCTGCTTCCCGGAAAGAGACAGAGACAGGGGTGCCCTTGATCTCCTGGGAAAATGACCCAAGCCACCCGCCCCTTGGGTTCACAAGTACACATTGAGCGTCTGGAGGATCATCTGGCGGCACAGCGGGCAGTTGCGCTGGTAGATGGCCTGCTGCAGGAGGACTTCCGTGCACTCCTGGCACAGGCACAGGTGCCTGCAGGGCAGAAGCAGGACTGTCTTGGTTTGGTCTTGACAGATGACACATTTCTTACGTTCCTCTTGTTCTTTCAGGAGCACCCAGGGGTCATTATCCGGAGTGCCCTCACCATCCCCAGCTGCTGCGTTCAGCTGCTGCCTCCTCAGAGCTTTCCCCCAGGAGGTGCTCGGTTCCTCCCTGGACGGCTGGAGACGCTGTCCTGCCACGGCACTTCGACTCAGAGCAGGACGCGCTTGCGGTACCTGCTCTGCATCCGGCTGGTCCTCGTGCTCAGCTGGCAGCTGGCCGACCCCTGCCAGCATCAGCCTGCCAGGGGCCGCCAGTCTCAGGGTGGGCGCAGCTGCCCCTCGCTGGTTGCTTTCCCGGTTCGTCGTTCCGCCTCCTTGGCTCCAGTTGGTCACCTGCAGGCTCCAGTCCACCAACCTGCGCCAGGCCTGGGAGGTCATGGCCATACCCAGCGTCAGGACTGCCACCTGGTAGAGCCGCCACACATCACGCTGCAGGCGGTGGTAGGAAGGCAGCGTGTTGAAGTAGCCCAGCACGTAGCCTGTCAGCGTCCACAGCAGCCCGGGGTTGAAGACAAAGGCGCTGACAACAATAATGAGGAGGAGCAAGACCAGACCATAAATATTCACAAAGAAGATGTTGATGAAGAGCTCGGCGGCGGAGGCCAGGAGCTCGAAGGCCAGCTGGCAGGGCGACCACAGCAGGATGGACACCGCGATGGCACCGCTGGAGACGTGCGCGAGGAAAGCGGCCAGCAGGTCCGTGACTCTGAGGAAGGGGCCGGCGACGGAGTCCCACAGGGCCGCGACCAGGGTGAAGAGGTTCTGCGTGCCGATGAGGCACACGTTGACGAGGCTGTTGATGAGGTAGGCCAGCAGGCTGGTGCCGATGGCCAGGCCCTCGCAGACCTGCCTGGCCAGGGCCTGGCCGCAGCCCAGCAGGCCGCAGAGCCCGCGGTGCAGCAGCTCCTTGCCCCGCAGCGCCAGGTGCGAGAGGAGGTGCCCC